GTGCCCTTGGAAATTCTGATACATGCTTTATCCCTATCCTAAGAGTCATTCATTGTCAGAGCTATGTTCTGTACCTCAGGGTCTTTGAAGGTGGAGGAAAGGAATTTAAAGAGCACAATTGAAAATCAAGCTCCATGCGGCAAAATCTAATGGGCAAATGCCCTATTCCTTCGCATTTGCTTGCATGTGTTGGATATTTGTGAATTTCTTTGAGCTATAGGGATATTTTGTACATGAAAGGTATTTTGAACTCACCTGTCTCCTAGCTAAGTTTGCCGTCCACACCTCTGAGAGAAAGGCTCCTTGTCACTGTGATGTCAAATGACATTGTGGCTACAGAAACATGATTGAGAATAGTGTGATAGTGAAGAATTGTTTATTTACATTTTTAGAGGTAAAAAATCCAGTTAAAATATTAATGTATATTTTTAAATACTTTCATTCATCTTAGCTGGCTGTGTCCCCTTACTTTCCTCCCTGATTCTCTGGGTGCCCTTTGTTTGTTTGGGTCTGCCTTTTTTTCATCCTGCTTATTCCCAGTAAAATAGCCTCAATTTAGTGCTGATAGGTGCTTGCTTCCTAAAAGTTATATATAGTATAATTAGAAAAAAATTTTTTGAGAGGAAACTTATTTGGTGGTCTCAGCAATTGTTTTAATGATACATCTGAATAAAATGGACCCAGTACAGTCCTTCAATTTTTTGTCCTCTCTAATAAGTTGTCATTTAATCTTACATTTCTCTTTGATTTTTGGGAATTGTTCATCATCAAATATTTCGTAGAAGATGGTCACCACGCTTGGTCTATAGAAGGATTTTTTCATTTGTTAAATGAAGAGTGGTTTGGATTAGATGGTCTCCAAAGTGTTTGCCAGCTCTAAAATTTTTGTAATTCATTTCGCAGTGAGCCTGCAGCAAGTACTGATTATTCTACTAGTTGCCCAGGCTCCCTGTACCCCTTCCCGGCCCCCTACTACAAGCATCTTCTGAAAATGCTTGCCAGTAGGGCACTGAGTAGAACCTTAAATTACTATGTTTTTATTATATTTACCTGTTGTTGTTGTTTGTTGCAGTTGAGTTGATTCTGATTCATGGCGACCCCATGTGTGTCAGAGCAGAACTGTATTCCATAGAGTTTTCAAGGTCGTGACCTTTTGGAAGCAGATTGTCAGGCCTGTTTTCCGAGGCTCTTCTGGGTAGGTTTGAACTGCTGGCCTTCGACTGTTAGTTGAGCACTTAACAGTCTGTGCCACCTAGTACTATTTACTATACAACTGCACACATAATTAAAACATTTGTCATAATAAATTGCCAAGGAATATTTTATAAAATGGTATCCTAAACTTTTATGATATAACTCCCTACATCTTAGTTCTTATTTAAGAAGATTGTCATTTTCAGAGGTATTACAAATGAATGTAGCTCCATGAAGACAAGAGGGGATTTTGTTTGTTTTTATTTACTGTCATATCCCAGCCCTTAGACCAGTGTCTGGATCATCGTTGGTGCTCGATAGATATATTTTGAATGAGTAAATATGATTTGAGATTTAACTTAATTTTTATTTAAAGCCACCCCTTGCCATTGAGTTGATTCTGACTCATAGTGACCCTATCGGACAGAGTAGAACTGTGCCCTAGGGTTTCCAAGGATCGGCTGGTGGATTTGAACTGCTGACCTTTTGGTTAGCAGCTTAACGCTTAACCATTGCGCCACCAGGGCTTCTGAGTATTTATTAGCTAAGTGATCATTATGATAATTATTTGATACTTGTATTTCTGTTTCTTCTTTTTAATAATCTGTAACTATGCTGTCCAGTATAGTAGCCACCAGCCATGTGTCTGTTTTTACTTAAAATGTGACTAATCTCAATTAAGATGTGCTGTAAGTGTAAACTACATACTAGATTTTGAAGAATTACCAGTTTCATACCAAGAGATGTAGATTATCTTATTATATTTTTATATTGGTTATACGTTGAAATGATATTTTGCCTATATTGGGTTAAGAAAAAAAATTAAAATTAATTTTGCTCTTTTCTGGTTACTTCTTAAAACGTGGCTACTAGAAAATTTAAAATGACATGTGGCTTTTGTGGCTCAGTTTTTTCTCTATTGAACGGTCTGATCTAAACATAGAAAATATAGATACATTGAATGTAAAGAAGGGAGAAGCCTTCAAAAATTAGTTTTAAATGAGTATCTTTTATGGAAACATGAAATTATATGTTGCAGCTGTGACTTTGGGAAAGTGGGCATTCAAATAGCCTTGATCAAATAAAAAAAAAGACCAAAATAAATGAATTAGATTAGCTCAAATTAGAATTATGAACTCCCGCTCCCAGATGGATTCCTGGCATAGTTGTCGGTTGTCTCCTGAGGTCAGAAGTGGGGCAGGAAGCGCTGATGGCTGCTGAGCGACAGTGGTCAGTAACGACGGATTTGAGCCACAGTTGTAAACTTCCCGCCCTCGGCTCACTTGAGCGTGGTCACAGTTGTGGTGAGCGACACGCTTACTCGATGCCCCATCCTGTGGGCTACCTGTCTGCTGTCATTTCTCATACCACCAGGAAATGGACTCTTAGTGGGAAGGACTAGGGAACCGGAAGGAAAAGGAGTAAAACCCAAGTGTCAGATATGATTCCTCTTAGAGCGTTTCTGTTTTGTCCCTTCCTATGGCTGCACACAGTACTTCCCCTCTTTCTGCTCAGCCTTAGGCTGATGTAAAATGAGAACCAGCTCCTAAGCTGGCTCCTCCAGGCCGGCTGTGCTCGCACCGCTATGCATCTGGCAGAAGGGTCGCTAGTGAACGTGCTGTCCCTTCCCTCTGGGCTCCTTTCTCTCCAGAGCTGCCTGGGGACCCCACCTTGTCCAGAGTGTTTCCTCCTGCGTCACTGGTGGACCTTGGAGGATGAAACCATTATCCTATCAAACAAGGCTATCAAGGAAATAGAAGTAGACACCACTTAAGCGAATTTGAAAGGTTGTTTTCGTAAGTGGTTAGTGGGCACAGCTGGTTTAAGCTATTATCAAGTCCATTCCAGTATTTGTTTCCTTGAAACCTAGAATGAGCCTTGAATAAATGAATACTGACTGCCTTGGTTTTTTAGGAGTAAATTCAATTTATACGTATTTGTTGCATTTGACACTGGAGATTTCTCCTGCTCTGTATTTTGGATTTTAAAGTAATTGTGTAGAAGGGCAGCATATTTCAAATAAAATGGCATTCATGCTCACCTGAGTTGCACCAGTTTGACCTCTGTTTTTGGAGAAACTGGATCAGAAAATTCATGGCAGTTAGCGGCTGAGTGAGGAGACCTTTGGCTCGAGTTGACAGCTGCCACCTGAATACGGCAGACCTGGAGACCCTCTCAGGGTGGATGTCTATAGTTCTGACAGGAAGCAGGAGTGGTGTTTACATGTTCTGTAAGCAAAATTCTCCCTGTGTTAGGAGTATGTTAGAATAGGGCCAGCAGAGACCGGGTTTTTATCTGCCTCACCAGTGCGCTCACCAGCAGTGCTGGCCGCTCCATTGTCCGTCGGCTCACACACGGATAGAAGTGTGTCTGCAGACTTGGTGACTGAGCCCGTGTATAACATCACTTCTGAAATTCGTCAGCAAGATACATCCCCCACCCCACCCCTCAAGTGGGCCAGTATCACACAATGCTTATAAAAGAGAGAAAAAGAGTTAAATTCCAAAGATGTTTAAGATTTCAGGCATTCTTCCTATGTGAATTAGTTCTTTATTAGGCTGTTGACTCGATTAGTACTCAACAAAAAACACTTTCCCGTTTTGATTGTTGAAAGATTCTTTAAAATTAGTTATTTTAATCTGATACAAACCTGTTGGGAGCTGTTGGAACAACTTGTGGTACATCAGGTGCTGTGTGTTATGGGCGGTAAACACCGTCCGTGTTTCTCCCACCTACTCAGGTCCTGCCTGATTTCACAAAGGGGTTAAGGCCACCCGAGGTCAGTGTGAGTATTTTGAATTTCATTCAGTTAGAGTAATTTTTAGTTTTGACTAGTTTTTAGGCAAACTTTCTGTTCTTTACTAATGAGAATAGTTGTCCTGTAGCAGCTGTCCACCCACGTGGAGTTCCTTCTGAGTGGTCAGCAGTATCCCGTTTCGTCACCAGCACCCAGTGTGCTGCGGGTAGCCAGCGCACCTGGCAACTGGGCTCCTTCACCCTTGGCACCGTCGGGCACAGAGTTGGGGTGTGGCGGCCCTGTGTCGTGCACAGGTCCAGTCCGTGAGCGACTGGTCTGCCTGCAGAATGAGAGCTTTTCTTTTAGTCTCTGAGTCTTGTACATTCCTGCCGTTAAACCTAATGAAACTGAATTAATTATACTGTTCGCCAGCCTCCTTTTCAACATCGCCACGGACACGTTCTCCACAGACGTCTCTGTGACTGTGTGTGACATAGTTGTATGTTGGCTGTAAATATCTAATTTGTATGAAATGACTGATTTAGGTATTTATATAATCCTCTCGTCAGTTTAACTAAGTTGAGCTTTTCACAGCCCTCGGTGATGCTGCTGCTCATCTGATTACACTGCTCGGGGGAATAAGGTTAAGGACATGCTGTTGGTAACGAGAGCATTTCCAGGGCTTTGGTTCAGCAGATGGGCTGCTTGGCTATATTCATACATCTGCTTGCCTGCTGTGGCAGCTGCTGCTGCTTCATGTTGTGTTCTTTTGTTCTGTTCCATCCAAGAACGGAACGCTAGGAAGTGTACTGAATGGATTAATTTAAGGTTAAGGTTAGTGTTTTGCTTGCCTTCTAAGTAACTGATCATAATAATGCTTCTGGTAGAAGCTAATGAGTTTCTCTTAAAGTGAACTAGATTGATAAAACACTGCTCAGCGAGGGACCTAGATTAGTATTGTCTGATGGATACCCAATTCACATGTGTAAAATACTGGCTGTTTTTTTAATCACGCATTCCTAATTCTTTGTTTTCTTCCTTCCTCCTCCCCACCTTCCACTCCCTTCTAGGACTTATATCCAGACTTTGCCTGACACTGCAGGGTCCAAGAGAATTAAGGAAATATGGAATGACATGAAGAAGATTAGTTAAGGATTATAGGCTTTGAGGACAGACACCTCAGTGAAGTGAAGCACAGACAAGCTCCCTAGCTGAAGTTTGGAGGAGCCGTGTGTTGGAAGAAGATGGCGGATCCAGGAATGATGAGTCTTTTTGGCGAGGATGGGAATATTTTCAGTGAGGGCCTTGAAGGCCTTGGAGAGTGTGGTTACCCTGAAAACCCGGTCAACCCCATGGGCCAACAGATGCCGATAGACCAAGGCTTTGCCTCTCTGCAGTCATCCCTTCATCATCCCTCCACTAATCAGAATCAAACCAAGTTGACCCATTTTGATCACTATAATCAGTATGAACAACAAAAGATGCATCTGATGGATCAGCCGAACAGAATGATGGGTAGTGCCCCTGGGAATGGACTCGCGTCTCCTCACTCGCAATATCACACCCCTCCCGTTCCTCAGGTCCCTCACGGTGGCAGTGGCGGCGGCCAGATGGGCGTCTACCCTGGTCTGCAGAACGAAAGGCATGGGCAATCTTTTGTGGACAGTGGCTCTATGTGGGGACCACGGGCTGTTCAGGTACCAGACCAGATACGAGCCCCCTACCAGCAGCAGCAGCAGCCCCCACCCCAGCCAGCTCCGTCAGGCCCCCCGACTCAGGGCCACCCTCCGCACATGCAGCAGATGGGGAGCTATATGGCACGTGGGGACTTCTCGATGCAGCAGCATGGTCAGCCGCAGCAGAGGATGAGCCAGTTTTCCCAAGGCCAAGAAGGCCTCAATCAGGGAAATCCTTTCATTGCCACCTCAGGACCCGGCCACCTGTCCCACGTGCCCCAGCAGAGCCCCAGCATGGCGCCTTCCCTGCGTCACTCTGTACAGCAGTTCCATCACCACGCCCCTACTGCTCTCCATGGAGAATCCGTTGCCCACAGTCCCAGATTCTCCCCTAATCCTCCTCAACAAGGGACTGTTAGGCCACAAACCCTTAACTTTAGTTCTCGGAGCCAGACAGTCCCCTCACCTACTATAAACAACTCAGGGCAGTATTCTCGATATCCTTACAGTAACCTAAATCAGGGATTAGTTAACAATACAGGGATGAATCAAAATTTAGGCCTTACAAATAATACTCCAATGAATCAGTCCGTACCAAGATACCCCAATGCTGTAGGATTTCCATCAAACAGTGGTCAAGGACTAATGCACCAGCAGCCCATCCACCCCAGCGGCTCACTTAACCAAATGAACACACAAACTATGCATCCTTCACAGCCTCAGGGAACTTATGCCTCTCCACCTCCCATGTCACCCATGAAAGCAATGAGTAACCCAGCAGGCACGCCTCCTCCACAAGTCAGGCCTGGAAGTGCTGGGATGCCCATGGAAGTTGGCAGTTATCCAAATATACCCCACCCTCAGCCATCTCACCAGCCCCCTGGGGCCATGGGAATTGGACAGAGGAATATGGGCCCCAGAAACCTGCAGCAGTCTCGTCCGTTTATAGGCATGTCCTCAGCACCGAGGGAGTTGACCGGGCACATGAGACCAAATGGTTGTCCTGGCGTTGGCCTTGCTGACCCACAAGCAATACAAGAGCGACTGCTCCCTGGCCAGCAGCATCCGGGCCAGCAGCCGCCCTTCCAGCAGCTGCCAACCTGCCCTCCGATGCAGCCCCACCCAGGGGTGCACCACCAGTCTTCACCCCCACCGCACCCTCACCACCAGCCGTGGGCACAGCTCCACCCCTCGCCCCAGAACACCCCGCAGAAAGTGCCTGTGCGTCAGGTAAGTTGCATTCTGCCTTTATGTAAATACGCTGTTCAGCGCAGTTAAATCTGTCGGATAGAATTTTCTTTAAACATGAAGATCTTTCTCATTATGAGTGCCTTAATTTTTATCTTGGAAGCTGCCTCCGAATCTCATTTTTTCTGTTCTCCCTTTATTTACTCACTTATTTTTATTACTTATTACTCACGGACTTACGCACTTATTCAGAATTTCTTGAGTTCCTCTGTAAGAGGGATGCATGGCTTTGAGTAAGACTTGGTCTGTGCTCTCAAGGAGCTTTGTCCTGCCAGCTGGGAAAGAATATGGGACTCAAACCTCGTCAGGCAAACATTTCTTGCCCTTCTCTTTCTTCTTTCTCTCTTCCTCTCTCTGTTTTAAAAATACACTGAAACTTGGTTCCCGGCAAAATTTTGTGTGTTAGTGGTAGTCCCCTCCCCCCTTTATGTTATGCTTTTTTCTTGGGAAGCTACAAAATGGACACCTTTATAATATTTATTTTGCCAATTGTTGAATGCTAGTGTAAATTTAAATTACAAACAGTAAAGAATAATCTACAGAATGTGTTTGGTTTCAAAAAGATTTGAGTACCCAACCCTGAAATGAGAGTTTTCCTTTTTTTCTTGGTAAAATGTGATGTTTTGTTATCCTACGAAATTTATAAGAGAACAGATTAAGTTTTAAGCTTTGGTACTGTATTAGTTCCTAGGACTGCTCTTAATAAATTATCACAAAGTGGGTGGTGGCTTGTAACAACAGAAATTTATTCTATCACAGTTGTGAGTGCCAGTAGTCTGAATTCAGGTGTCTGCAGGGCCACGTTCTCGCCGAAGGCTCTAGGGGAAGGAAGATCCTGCCTTGTCTCTTTCAGCTTCTGGTAGCCCAGGTGATCGCTGGCTTGTGGCGGCATAACTCCGGTCCCTGCCTTCACGTGGCTGTCTTCCCTCTCTTATAAACACATGGCTCAGATTAGAACCTACCCTACTCCAATATGATCTCATGGTAACTTAACTAAGACATCTGCAATGACTGTTTGCAAGTAAGGTCACATTCACAGGTAACCGTTGTTAGAACTTCAGCCTATCTTTTTGAGGTTTATAGTTCAACCCATAACAGATATTCATAGAGACATCTTTCTCTTATAAATCTTAGTTTTTATGCTCTAGGCGAAGTAAAAATGAATTACTGTCTGTGTGTACAGATTATTCTGAATGCTATCCAGAAATATATATTGATCACCCACTATAGTTGCCATTGTGGTTTTGGATGGCACAGTAGGTCATTTTGGAGGTGTAAGGCATAGTGCTCGTTCCTAGCGAGTTTGTCATCAGTCTGGGGAACATAACCAATATGTGCAAATGTACTGCGGAGTGAGAGACCATGCATGCATGATCATGTGACAGGTGTCAGGGAGAGAAAAGACCTGTGGGTTAGATTCCGTGGAGTTTGGCTGGGACTTATTCAGGAAAAGCGAACCAAGGACGACACTGCAGGTTGGAGGATAGTTTGTCAAACAAGGGCACGTGAAATGGAGCTTGCTGCAGGGCGTGGGGTTGGGGAGCAAGGGTTTCAAGTAGGGCCGGATTATAGGGGCCTTGCGTTCTCTTATAAGAATTTGGACTTAAATGGGGAGCTGGTGATACTGGTTAGATAGTGTGCATAATGGATGGAGAACCAGCAGGTGAAGTATGAGCCTCTGTCCAGGCTGGAGACAACAGTTTGGACCAGGGATGGGGTCGTGGGAATGTAAAAGGATTTGATCAGGAAGCAGCCATTCTGGGCTTCTGGGGTGGAGCAAGGTACATTTGTGACATTGACTCGGAAGCTCCAGCATAGGAGGTGCTGTGGGAGTGGAGGTCAGGGCCTCCTCAGGCCTGGAGCAAATGGAGGGGTGATTCCCAGGAGAGCCCCAAAGGCAGTGGAAGCCGCCCCTTTGGACACAGCTCCTTGCCTCCTCTCCACCTGAATCCCTTGCGGTGTCACTGCTGGCGGGGTGTAACCTGCAGCAGCCTGATGGGAAGGGGCTCTGGGCACAGAGGACTGTAGAAGGGGCACCTACAGAGGAGGTCTGACAAGATGCCGCAGAGAAGGGCCCTGAGGAGGGGGGGAGGGGGAAGGAAGGACAAATGAAGGGCCAAGATAAAACAGATAAAATGCAGCTAATTTGTTTTTCTCTATATCAGTCTCAAAAAGGACCAAAAGTGCTGTCCCTGAGGCCAGCTGACCTGGGTGGCTGCTAGGGCAGAAATGACTTCTTTTCGAGCAACTACTCTTTTCTTTTATTCCCTGGAAAGGTTCTTAAACAAGGGATCTAAAAAGACAGCAGTGCCTCTCAGACTTTTCCCTGTCCCAGCAGAACCATGGGGAATGAGGTAGACCCTTTCTTCCTTGCTGGAGGGTGAGGCAGCTTGAAGGAGACTCCCTCTGTCTGGTCGCAGCCGGATCCCTGGATGAGAAGTGCTGACCTGCTCCCAGCTGGTCCGAGTTTTAAGAGTACAAGTATTTCAACAGGCATCTCGGATGATGAATTTTGCTCATGCTGTTTGCTTTCTTATTTCTGCCTAACCTTGCATTTTCTTCAGATTTTGAAGCACTCAGTTTTGAAAATAATACTGGGAGGTGGTGTAATGTCTTGGGAATAGCATAGACTTTATTAAACTCAGAAAAGTGTTTGAATCGTAGCTCGACCACTAATAGCTTGGTGACCGAGGGCAAGTTACTTAGTTACTCTGAACCTCAGATTCTTCATCAGTAAAACAGAAAATAGTTCTCATCTTGAAGGATGTTGAGATTAAGTGGGACAATATGCACCAAGTGCCTGGTGTCATGTCCAGCCCAAGGTAGAGAGATTATGTTAATTCTCCTCTAGGGTTTACGTTCTGATCTGTAATGCAAACCTAGCTTCGTAATTACATCATTTCACATGCAGATATCATGTAACATTAATTTTATTTTTTAAGGAAGAAGTTAAATATTATGAAATATAGCCTTAGTTATGAAATACTAAATTTAATTTGTGCAAATATTACCCCGCTTTTAGCACGTTCTACTCTAGCAAACATATCTAAATAGGTTTTGCTTTAGAACTTCTAAAATTATTTTGCATTTCATCTGTGGATAGAATGGTGGTTCAGACCATACTGTGTTTCAGGGAAGCTACTAGATTAGGTAGAAACATTGGTGTCATTTGCATAACAATGATTGTATTCACGATAGGCTCCTTGATTCCCTTCTCTTCTTGACTATTTGACTTTTTTAAACATAGAAGTTGTGCTCTTTAGGAGTTTCATAGATTCTGGACAGATATTTTCTAAATTATGTAACACATTTAAGAATCTTTAAAGATAAGTTTAACTTTACATCGAAAAGGTAAACAAAAGAAAATATTAGAACAAAAAGCCCAAAGTTCATCAATCAGAATATACAAAATTATGCATGTAGGTGTGGACACATTCTTTCCTGGAAACTCTAGTCTATCCTGACTATTTGATGAAATTTATGGGGAAAAAAATCCCTAGCTTTTATTTCTTTTTAATAGCTGCTTAAAAGAGTGGTTCTCAAACTTTTTGATCTCAGGCCCTTTTACCCTCTTAAAAGCAGAACTTCAAAGAGCTTTTGTTTTGTGGCTTATATGTATTGATATTTACACTCTTAGAAATGAAAATTGAGGAAAGTTTAAGTTTTTTTTGTTAATTCATTTAAAAATAACAATAATAAACCATTACAGGTTAACACAGGTAACATTTTTTGTAGTGAAACATTTTATAATGAAAAATAACTATTTGCCAAAACCAAAAAAATTAGTGGGATTTTTTGCATACGTTTACAAATGTTGGAGTCTCACATCTGCTTCTGTGAGTAGTGTGCATGCAAGGCCTGAGCCTCTGGAAAAATCCAGTGAGTGGAAAGGCAAATAGCATCTCAGTATCATTATAAAAATAGCTCTGATCTTGCCTCCAGGGTTCCCGGCCCACACTTCAGAACCATTGGTATGAAGGAAGGAGCGTGGCTTTGGAGTGTGGAGATTTTACACACAAGCACCCCTACCTGATGACTAACCCTGTGACCTTGAGCAGGTTATGTAACCTCAGGGCCTCCATTTCATTATCTCTAGAATGAGGGTTGATCTACCTTCCTGGTTCCAGAGATAGTAAGTTAGCAGTAATGTCCCTTGAGTATCTAACCTGCTACGGGACATGTCATGTGGACTCCAGAGTGATACATTATTCATCCAGCAAAAGTTCAAAGTTGTCCGATGCAAAATTTAAAAAATAGTTTTAATCACTTCTTTCAATGTTAAAATATTGTCAGAGTTGTTTGACTTCATTTCCTGAGCTTCAGTGAACATTTTTCTAACATCGAGGCCCCCTGTAGGCTGTGCATTGGAGAGAGCAAAGATCTTGCTGGAGGAGGGGGCAGTGCATAGAGTATGTGTGGTGGAAGTGCCCACAGAGATTCTCCCTGTGCGTTTAGGCTGGGTGAGAGGCTGGAGTCTGGGAGGGTTTCTGGGGAAGCAAAGTCTTTGCTGAGATGTGAAGCATCAGTCTGAGTTGTGAAAAGGATAGGTAGAGGGGAGAGAAAAGAGTTTAAAGTCTGGGAAACATTAAGTGCAAAGATGAGAGTGAGCCCGTTAGCCCTTTGGTGGCTCTCAATATTGCTGGGATGCTGGCGGCATGGGGTGTAGAAGAGAGAAAGCGCAGATCTCCAGGACCTTGTAGGTCACCATAAGATGGCCCTGTTGGGCAGGCTTCATCAGGGCCTCTGGCTACAGGCGAAGAGTGGAGAGTGGGCAGAACTAGCGGTCCAGCGTGTATCCAGTGCTGTGGACACGGATGAGGATGATGTAAAAGGAAAGCACAGAACGCTATTGTATCTTAAGAAAGACCAGTAAGTGGACTGTCCTTGTGGTAACAGCCAAATTCCCAAGTTTCTGAATAATTTACACTGCACAGGTGCATGTATGTGTCCTCACGGTTCACAGATTAACACCCAGACTGGAA